ATTTTGTTCCTGCTATCAGTAAGAACATTATATCGATTTCATGCTTAGACTCGGATGGTTTTAGATTTGTTATTGAGAACAAATATCTGTTCATTTATAAAGGTGACTTATTTTATGGTAAAGGTTACCATATTAATGGCCTTTATGTTTTGGATGACGAACCGTCAAGATACAGGCGATGAAATTAATCAACAACATTATTTTGTATTTATAAATTTGTTTGATTATAGATGCAGTTATTTCGGTTATAAAGAAATCATAACCATCGGTTATGAATGAACATTAACATTTAAGAAAACTATTTACAAAAAGATATTTAAAAACTCTAACTTGCATCATAATATTAATATTAATCTTATAAAATGATTAATCCAAACCTTAAACCACAAAATCTCCAAAAATCTTAAAAAATTTCAACCTTCACTATATTTTCATCTTCATTTGTTTTAAACTAATAAAAAAAAAGATATAACAAATGTATAATATATCTAAAAAAAGATTTAAATCAAAATGAGTGTGTGAGAGTTGAAAGTGAAAATACGATATTTTTTCCGATCCGAACCGTTCTAAATTGCCGAACGATATTATTTTTAGAAAATCGAATTTTTCGAAACCGAATTTTAAAAAATCCTGAAAAAAAAATTAGAGAAAATATATCTGATTATGTTTTCAATGAATTTAAAAGATTACTCGTAGACAAGGTTCTTCGAAAAATAGACCTCTTCGAGAGAGAATTTTTTTGACAGTGGAATCGGAAAACAAGGCCGGAGATGTAGCTAGCTGCGACGGAGTGTATCGTCATAAGAAATCATCAGAAGAAATCAGAAAGTTTGACCGAAACATATTTGCGATCAAATGAGAAAGAGTAAAGTAAAAAAAAAGTAGGGTTATTTATTTTATGAAAAACTTATTTATTTAAATACATTTAAATATATTGATAAAATTAAATTATTGTACACTTATCACTATACATTATACTATTATATTGTCATATTAAGAATACTAAAATATATTTTCCGATACAAAATTTTTTTGCCAAATGAATACTTAAAAAAATGACGTCATCGTATCGTTAGTTTAGTCTGACTTGGCATTGTCGTTTCGCCACGTTAGTGTACACATAGATTGCCATGTTAAATATTTTGCAATCGATTTAGATATGAACCTGATTTAACATTTAACCAATTTAATTGAACACAATCCGATTAACATTGACCAATTTAAAATAAATAACCCTACTTTTTTTTTACTTAGTGATAAGTGTACAATAATTTAATTTTATCAATATATTTAAATGTATTTAAATAAATAAGTTTTTCATTTTTTACGAAATTCATATCAATAAATTTTATAAAAAAATAACTAATAACTTTTAAGCTTACTAAATTATTGAACGGTATTATTTTAGAAAACCGAATTTCACATAAATGAATTTTAAAAAAACCCGACTTTTTTTAAAAAAAAATCTAATTATGTCTTCGATGAATTTGAAAGATTACTCATAAACAGAGTTCTTCAGGGAATAAACGTCTTCGAGAGGAAACTTCTTCGACAGTGGAATCGGAAAACGAGGTTGGAGATGGAACTAGGTGCGACGGAATGTATCATCGTAGAAAATCATCGGAACAAATCAGAAAGTTTGACCGAAATATGTTTGGCTCAAATGAGAAACAATAAAGTGAAAAAAAAAAGGGTTATTTGTTTTCAATCAATGTCAACCGGATCGGGTTCAATTAAATTAGTTAAATGTTAAATCGGGTTCATATCTAAATCGATTGCAAAATATTTAACATGGCAATTATGTGTACACTAACGTGGCGAAACGACAATGCCAAGTCAGACTACACTAACGATATGATGACGTCATTTTTTTAAGTATTCATTTGGCAAAAAAAATTTGTATCGGGAAATATATTTTAGTATTCTTTAATCTGACAATATAATAGTATAATGTATAGTGATAAGTGTACAATAATTTAATTTTATCAATATATTTAAATTTAAATATATTTAAATAAATAAGTTTATCATTTTTTACGAAATTCATAACAATAAATTTTATAAAAAAATACTTAATAACTTTTAAGCTTAAAAAATTATAAAATATAGATTATCAAGATTCAAAAGTTAGAATGACATTAATTTTGGATACCAATATTGATTTACAAAACTAAATGAAAAAAATATTAGGGGTGAGCGTTTTGATATGGTTCTTCATAATCGAACCAAAAAATATGATATTTTTTTATCAAAATCGTTTTAAATTCTTGAACGGTATTATTTTAGAAAACTGAATTTCACATAAATGAATTTTAAAAAAACCCGACTTTTTTTAAAAGAAAATCTAATTATGTCTTCGATGAATTTGAAAGATTACTCATAAACAGAGTTCTTCGGGGAATAAACGTCTTCGAGAGAAAACTTCTTCGACAGTGGAATTGGAAAACGAGGTTGGAGATGTAACTAGCTGCGACGGAATGTATCATCGTAGAAAATCAACAGAACAAATCAGAAAGTTTGACCGAAATATGTTTAGCTCAAATGAGAAACAGTAAAGTGAAAAAAAGTAGGGTTATTTGTTTTCAATCAATGTCAACCGGATTGGGTTCAATTAAATTAGTTAAATATTAAATCGGGTTCATATCTAAATCGATATCAAAATATTTGATATGGTAACCTATGTGTATACTGGTGAAACGACAATGCCAATTCACACTAAACTAACGGTATGATGACGTCATTTTTTTTAAGTATTCATTTGGGGAAAAAACTTTTGAATCGGAGAATATATTTGCGTATTCTTTAATCTGACAATATAATAATATAATGTGTAATGATATTTATATAGTAATTTAATTTTATCGATATATTTCAATGTATTAAATAAATAAGTTTATCATTTTTTATAAAATTCATATCAATAAATTTTATAAAACAATAATGAATGACTTTTAAGTTTACCAAAATATAAAATATAGTTTATCATGATTCAAAAGTTAGAATGATATTAATTTTGAATATCAATATTGATTTAAAGAACTAAATAAAAAAATATTAGGAGTGGACGTTTCGATTCGGTTCTTCAGAATTGAACCGAAAAATACTATATTTTTTCCGATCAAAACCGTTCTTAATTCCCCAACGGTACAAAGTTTAGAAAATCAATTTTTCTAGAATCAAAACGAAACTAACCGAATTTCAAAATTTTCAGAAAAATAATTTTTTTAAAAAGAAATCTATTTTTTTAATAAAAACTGGAAGTGAACCGAATGTTATATAGAAACCGATGGTATCTATTTTTGTAAAATTGAAAAAATCCAACCAATGCATTCTCATCCCGAACCCGAACCGATTCCTGAACTACTCACCCCTAAAAAATATAAATACCAAATTTATATTTACTTTTCCACATAACTCTACATTATATTCGTAAAAATATAATTAAGTGAAAAAAACCATTTATTTTAATTCAACAACTTCATAGTCATAACATCTCCGATATAAAGAATATTTTAAAATGCACTTTATTCCTTTTGTACTCACTTTCATAGATATTTTTAAGTGCATTTTAATTATAAAATTGTTAATTATAAAAAAAATATTTTTATTGAATATCTTATTTGTTTAATTAATTTACTAATATAAATTATAAATTATAGAGAATATTTTATTACATAAAATAGTAAAAAACTTCCTCAAAACAATATGAAAGAAATAAAATTCAAGTATACTATATATTTAATTACGAATGTATATGAATTTCTAAATTTCTAATAAAAAATAATATTTAAATATTCTATAGTAACAATGAATCGTTTTTATTCCACATTCTCATATCATATCATATATCATTTTTCAATAACATTCATATCAATAAATTTAATAAAAATATATTTAATATAAAAATAATAATAACCCGCGCATCGCGCGGGTCTTTTTCTAGTTCCAACTAATAACATAGCTTTTTATTTTCCTCTCTCTCTTCATTATAATTTTTCCACTTTCTGTGTTTGGTCGTCGTTTTTTTTCCCTTTAAAGGATATTTTGTAACGTTACGAACTTTTGACGCCAGGCCATGTGCTCCTCCATAACTCCCCAAATCTCCAATGGCAAAGACTATTCAACAAATAAAATATAATATGGTCCTAAACATAAAATGCACATTTACTCAAACGTTTTAAATTTAAGATATATAATAATATATGCTAAAAATAGAAGAAAAAAGAATTTTCAACTCAAATTGGAATGTAATAAATTGCTTGAATACCTAAACAAGAAAACAACAAGATATTTTAAAAATGTTATTATTGGTTATTCCAATTCACAACAAAGGAAACGGTAGAACAAAAAAAGTCACACACGGCTTGTCTATCTGTCCCCAACCCAACACCTAATCATGACATTTATCCAATTTTTTTTTCTAAAACATTTATCCACAAGTAAAGACATGAAAATTAGGCAAACTCGGAATCCTAAGCTTTTCAATCAAAGTTATGTTACAGCCTGCAATTTCAAATGATTGAATGTATCTCTTTGTAATTAACAGAGAAGAGTGATTAATTAATTTATAAGAGAAATAATCCAAATTCTATGTAACACAATTTGGATAAAGTGAGGATAAATAAGACAAAAACTATGTTACAAAAGGTACAACAACAAAAGCTTTTGTGCCTCGGAACCATAGAGTGTGTGTGATGATATCTCAAACAAAGGGTTTCGAACAAATCTGTTAGCTTTCAAAGAATGAACAAATGCAAACAAGCTCTCAAGCTGTGTTCCAGAGGCACATAAACAGTATCTGCGTGTATACATATATATATATGTAGAAAGATCGTAATCACAAAGAGGAAAAGCCATCGGAAAACGAAAAGCTCGTACCCATTTCACCGCCCGTCCGTCGAGTTGAAAGAGTCGGGAAAGCCAGCGGGTTTCGAGGGGATGCTGGATTGGGTCTGAGAGTAGGAGAAATCGCCGTGGAACATCGAGGAAGTGCCTTCATTCGCTTGCCATCTCTGCAATGCTTGCGGGAGGCTCATGTGGAGATCGATCCCGAAGCTCTCTTCTTCTTCCTGCGAGGACGGTTTCCACTGCTCCACGAGCGGGCCCAGCACATTGACCGCGTGGCCCATGTCTGGTCTTTGGTGCGGCTCCCGGGCCGTGCAGTGTCCCGCCAGCTCGGACACCCTGTAGATGCTCGCCATTGTTTCCTCATCTGGCTCTAATGTCTCATCTAACGCCTTTGGCACGTTTTCTTTGTTGATCAGGATTCTTCTGAACCATGTCACCAGGTGTGATCTCTCGTCTGGTAATGAATCGTCCAGTGCTTTCCTTCCCGTGATCATTTCCATCAGAACCACTCCAAATGCATACACGTCCACTTTCGTTGTCACTCTTCCAGTTGCTGCAAGTGAAGAACGAAAAAATCATAATCCATACATGGGACAGTAAAGGCGAAATGCAGGTTTAACAACGGAATTACATATAGGAGTACTATCTTACCAGCATATTCCGGGGCTAGATAACCAAATGTGCCAGCCAATCGTGTTTCAACGGAGTACTTTCCATCGGGAGCGTTCTTAACCAATCCAAAATCGGCAACCTTTGCCCTCATGTCATCTCCTAAAAGTATGTTAGATGGCTTCAGATCCCTGTGGATGAAACTCTGTTGTGCTAAGCTGTGAAGATACTCAACTCCTCGGGCTACATCCAAAGCAATTGTTACCCTCTGTTTCCACGTAAGAGGAGGGTACCCGAGTTCACGCCACTCAAACAAGTGCTGCCCGAGTGTTCCCTGAGGCATGTACTCGTACACGAGCAACCTCTCGTTCCCATTGATACAGTAACCTAATAATGCCACCAGATGTCTGTGTCTGACTTTAGTTAGCACGGCTATCTCAGCTTGAAACTCGTTCATTCCTTTCGTGCCCACGGTTGAAGACTCCATCCTCTTAACAGCAATCTTTGTCCCGTCGTGTAATTCCCCTTTGTATACAACACCAAAACCTCCTCTGCCCAATACATTCTCCTCACTAAAGTTATGTGTCACTTGGCGGAGAACTTCCATTGAGATTGTAACATTTCCTCCCTCGAGAATGTAACGATCGCTGTTGTCACCACTGCTCGGGCTATTCAATCCGTTAAAGTTACTTATTCCATACCCATTGGTACCACGAACAGCACCACCACTACTGGTACTTCCCGCAGATATAGCATTGCTCAGCATTTCTTTTCCGGCCATTTCAGGGTCCATTCTACCAAATTTTCCATACTTCCTCTTCATAATAAACTTGTAGACGACAAAGCACATGATGGCGAGGAAAACTAGAATTGCGATAACGACACCAACGATAACAGGCGTCTTACCACCAGAAGACCCATCTGCGTTACCACCGGAGTTGTGACCGCTTCCAGAGGTCGACGAATTGTCAACATCAGTGCCCAACAATGCATTCCCCGGTTTATAAACAAACTTCACTGAACTGGGAAACTGTGGTATATCTCCAGTGAGATTGTTATTGGACACATCAAGTGACTGTAGAGTGGGAATAAAAGTCAATCCTTTAGGAATGGAACCCGTTAGATTGTTATCATTCAATAAGAGATTCTTCAACGACGTAAGATTCGCTATTGCAGGAGATATAATACCCACAAACCCGTGTTTCCCAAGATTCAAAGTGATAATCCTCCCAGATGAATCGCAAGTAACATAAGCCCAACCACAAGCATCATCACCTTGCCAAGTATCCGCCAGCATTGCCGGGAATCCAAATCCACCAGCTACTTCCAGCAGCGTAGTCACCTGAGGGCTACAACTTTGGCCTGCTTTAGAATTGCAGAAGTCATTGTTATCCAACGTTACCTTCACGTCTGGGGCAAAGGAAGGGACAGGACCCTGAAGCTTGTTGTTGTCTAGAGACACGTTCTTAAGACTCCCAATTGAACCCAAGGACGGCGGCACAATTCCGGTGAGCTGATTGTCCCGGAGCTGCAGATCGAAGAGCCCTTCGCATTTGGAGAGATCAGGGATCGGACCGGTGAACTGGTTCTTGTGGAGCCACACCTGCACCAACGAGCTCATGCTCGACAACACATCGATCGTGCCGGATATCCCCGACATCTGATTGTTGATCCAGAAGTTCTGAATCGAAGATTTCGCCAGCGAGGGAGGCAATGGGCCGGTGATGTTGTTGTACGAAAGCCGTAGATTCTGGAGAGAAGAGAAGGAATCGAAAATGTCCGGCAAAGTCCCAAAGATGTTGGTGTTATCGAGATAGATAGTGGTGAGAGATGCCGAATCGGTGAGCTCGACCGGGAAAATCCAAGAAGTGAGGTTCTGGTTATCGCTCATGCTCAACGTCTGGAGGCTGGTGAGTCCGCCGAAAGCACCAGCAGCGACGCCATTGAAGAGATTCTTATCCAAAGAAATCTCCTGGAGAGAAGACAGCTTCGCAAAAGAGGGGATTTGGCCGGAGAGCTTGTTTCGCTGGAAGAAGGCCGATTTAAGCTCGGAGAGAGACGAGATCTCCGGAGAGATTTCACCGGAGAGAGACTTATCAGCAAGGCTGAGGGATGTAACGCCACCTCCGCTGTTGCAAACGACGCCGGGCCATCTGCAGTAGCCATTAGAGGAGGTGGAGGACCAGCCGGAGGGAGGAGGCTGAAAGGCCTTGGCAATGGCGAGCATTGCGGCGCCATCGTCGGCGGCGGAAACGACGGAGACAGCGGCGAGGAGGAGGAGGAGGAGGAGGAGAAGAGGCCGAAGAAAGGAAGCCGCCATGGGAGGGAGGAAGAGAGAGAAAGGCTAGGGTTGGTTTTGGTAATGTGTAATTGGTGTTTGTTAGCTGTTAGAGAGAGAGAGAGAGAGAGAGAGAGAGAGAGATTTGGATGGAGAGAAAAGGGGGAGTGAGGTGTCATAATAACTAATAAAAACCCAAAATTATTATCCTCATTAATATTATTAATTAATTAGTTAATTAAGTAGTGTTTGGAGACTCATTAATATCACTCATTCGCAACTATAATTTAGTTTACTGTTTCAAACCATTAGAACAGCCCTAAAATTCGTTTGAAAATAAGCAAAATATATAACGAATTTTCATAAAAAGAAAAATAAGTTTGGTAATGATCAGTAATCTTTTCTTTTTAACTCTCATAATAAAGCGACGGACATATATATATATATAACAAATTTCTTGGAAAATATTATATTCCAAAATTTATATATTTTCCTTATTTTCATAAAATTAAATAATTAATTAATAATAAAATATATGTTGTCTTTATTAAAGATCTATACACATACAATTGTGAAACTAAATAGGCATTATATCAAAAATATATTTACTTTGCTATTTTACTTCAATACATACCTTTCTCTAATTGTACCATGTGATCCATATGATCCAAAATATAGTGTGGTCATATTTTGATTTTATTGATTATAACGTCAAATTTATGGTGATCACACTAATTCATTATGTTCATATCTTGTATATTTTACTAATCATTTGATTAAATTTGATATTATGGAATTTGGGAATACAATCAAAGAAGTTAATGTGATTGAGAGAATTATTGAGGCAGGTGGAGGGAATTATAGAGAGATTGATAGATAATATTTTTTGGGAATTTTGGTCGGTAAACTAACATATGAAGCCCACTAATTAAGGCTTTAATAATGGAAGGTTAATTTTTTTTTTTTTGGGGGGGGGGAGTGGTGTCTCACTCACTGATGCATAATTTCAATCTCCTAAAAAAAAATTAAAAAAAAATATCTAACCAAGATTTTGCAAGAATCACGCAGGAAATTCTTTACCTCTTGTTTTTTTTTTCTCTTTTATACAATTTTAGCCGATGATAATTTCTAACAATTGAGTCACCCATCAATTAGGGTGAACTTTTCGCTATTCGGTTTAAAAATTATTTGATCCAATGTTATAAAAATATATATATCAATTGATTATTATATCATATTTGATTTAGTTTGATTGGATTTGATGTATTTTTTATTAAGAATATATATATATATATATATATATATATA